GAGGTTCCTACACTGTAGGGGTAACGATTTATAGGGCTGTCAGAGCCTCCTGCTCCCCGGATTCTCTCAGAAAGAAGGGTTCCTAAATGCTTCCCTGGGAGCCCTCAGGTTCTCTAGAACTACAAAGTTGCAACAACAGGCCTGTGTGCATCTAGGTGCCATTCATTTGCCATATGTGTGAATGTGTGACTTGATGGGATTCTGAGCGTGTCCCTGTAGAGGTGTTCTGGATGACTGAACTTGCAGGAGGGTCTTTACACTAGTGTGTGCATGCTCGTGACTAGAGGTTCGGGTAAGTGCCTTGGGGTAAGCATTATCTCTATGTGTAAGTATCTGTGGGTGTCAAGGTGGATGTCCGCATAGTACACATATATACATGGGTCCAAGTATGTGTCTGAATGCGTTGTTACACAGTAGGTGCTTGCATCCATCTTTGTATTTCAGGAGCTCTATTCCTTGTTCAAAGGAAACCTGGTGACTCTGAGCATGCGGCATTGCGCGGCTGACTGCAAGGTTGGCTGTTCTGCCCCAGCAGCTGCTCCCAAAGAAAGATGAGGCTGTCTACTCCCAGGAAGATTCACAGTCTGGGAAACCCTGTAGAGCATCGCCATGAGTCGGAAATAACTTGATATCAGGCAGTGGGGTTGGGTTTTGCTCTTCATTCCTTGTTCAAGGCACCCTAGTGGCACGGGTGGTTAAGTGCTCAGCTCAGCCGCTAACAAAACGGTTGGCAATTCCAACCTGCTGGGAGTGGGTAGGGTGGCGATGTGGCGTGTGGCAGTGGGCTTCAGTAAAGATCGTCAGCCTTGGCAACCCCCTGGGCCACGTCACCTCTCTTCTATGGGGTCCCTATAAGGTGGATTTGACTCCAAGGTTTTGGATGTTTGTTAAATGCTTCTATTCTTGCTCACTGGTAAAGGTCTCCAGGTAGCTAATATCACAAAGGGAAGGATTAAGAGGAGTAGGAGCCCATCCAGCCCAGGGGGATGAGTGGCAGTCAGTGTGGCAGGAGGTGGCTCTCACAGGAGCAGGGGCAAGAGGGCTCTTGTCATCTCTCCCTGCCCTTTCCCAAAAGATCCCAAGGCACTGGGGAGAATCAATCCATACAGGTTCCAGAGTCAACTCTCCCAAACCTAGAAAGCCCACCCGGATTCTCCTAGGGCAGCACGGGAAGGGAGTGGTCCCTTGTGGTACAGCCCAGTCCTACGGTTGGGAGATCAGAAAAGCACCATCCCACCCCTGCCTTCGGGGGCATCCATCTCTAGGCGCTCTGTGTCTGGGTGGCCATGGGCGGAGGCTGAGGGGCCCCCAGGGTGGTGGTGGTGGGTGGTGGATAGAAACCAGATGCCTGGGGGGTTTATACTGGAAGGACCAGAGCCGCAGCCTCAACCCGCCCCTGCCACATGGCGCCTCTGCCTGGGCCGCCCCACCCCCTGGGAGGCTGGGCAGAGGGACGCCTGCCTGCCAGGATGGAAGCAGGTCTTTGGCCTGGCCTTCCAACTGCAGTCCCAGCCCCTGAGCACACCGGGAAAGGCGTGGGGGAAGCCAGGAATGTCAGGGGCTCAGCAGGGCTGCAGGACTGTCCTGAAATAACTTAGAGACAGACAGGAGAGGCCAGCAGGCCTTAGGAAGGCAGCTGGGGGATTCAGACAGCCCTTCAGCTGGGCTTTGGCACAGACCTTTGGGCAGGGGCTTCTGTGCCCAGGGAATATCCTAGTGGGTCAGACTCATTATCCCACTTCTCCTTTTGCTTGGACATGTTAGTCCTGCTTTCTGCCCCTTTCCTGGTGGGACAATGGATTGCAGCCCAAGAGAATGGGAATGGTTGACCCCTCTGCTTCCCCTCCATCACCTGTCCCCCAGCCTGGACCCTGGCTTTCACCTTTTCCTTCTGTTCCCCAAACCCACCCCCACCCCCATACCTCTTTCTGTCTCCTTTTCTTCCCCAATCTAATTGGAACCCCAACCCTTTCTCTCACCTGCCATCTCTTCTCTAGACTCTAGACTCCTTTTGTCCTCTGCCTCAGTATCCCACCTACTCTTCCTGGGCTTTTCTGCTGGTGTCCCAGTCATTTCTTGAAGGTTTCCCACTCTCTTCCACTTCTGAGAAGACCCCAGAAACCTATGCGCACTTCTGGCTGGATCCTCCCCCGCCCACCAGAGGGAGACTGTGAGGTCATTGGGACACCCCACCACGGTCACTTCCTTTTGGGCAGACGGGTGGGGTGGCCCTTGTAATCATCGGACACAATTATGGGCTATTTATACTCCATCCCCCGCCCCCCCCACCTGCCAGGCCGCTTAACCCTCCACCTCCTCCGGACCTGGCCAGACTAGGGCGGCTATTTTCTCTGTCCTTCTAAACCCTGGTCTCCTCTTCTGGGTTCCTTTGGGCAGCTGCTAGGCCTTTTCAGGTTTTTCTGAACTCTCCTTCATCAAGTGCCATCTCTGGTCACTTGCTGCCCCTCCCTCCCCCTTCCTTACACACCGTACCTTCTCCTCTGGGTGGTCACAATGGTTCTGCATGGGCCACTCTCTTCTCTTGCTTCTTTCATTTCATCTACCTGCTACCTTTGGTGCTTAGCTCTTTTCCTAAAAGTTGGGTTTACAGGAATGGGGGGGGGAGGTAGGGGGGGGATCAAGTGGGGCTGGAATCCAGCACCCCTACCTGACTGTGCTGTACTCCTGCCTGCTGCTCACCCCCGGAGCTGCTCTGTGCCTCCCCACACCGCCCATGTTGTCTCTGGGCAGTTAAGAGAACAAAAGAAACTCTCAGTTGGGGTCAGGAGCGAGAGTGAGGACCCATGCTGGAGAGGAAGGGGGGTGGGAAAGGATCCAGGGCTTCATTCTTCTCAGGGGAAGGGCTGG